TTTTTTCGCGAATTTGAACGATCTGAGAATACAGTTTTACTCAGAATTCGACGCTGATTCCGAATATGTATGACTCATTGCGTAATTTTTTGGGCACGAAACCTTACATTCTGCCACTTGTCCTTTAGTTTTTTTCAAAATTTTTTCATTAACTCCGGAAAACAGATTACGTTAACCCCCGCAGTCGACCATTGCGCACAATTTTTGTAGCAAGACTTTTACTCTAGCATGCTTTGTTATTGCAAGATCTTTGGCAAGAGCTTTACACTGCAGTAAATGGATGGCTTCTCAAACTTTATCAAACTATGTCAGTTTGAAAAGAACGATTGTGTTTGAATTTGACGGATTGTAACATGGTGACTAGATAGCCCAGAGTGTTCTCTACAATTCTGCGCAAAGCCGACCTCTCTATCTATTGTGGTTCTCGAATGGCAGGCATTTTACCTGACCAAATGGTAAAGAATTTCGGGTGACTCAGAAAAATGCCTGCCATTCGAGAACCACAAAAGATAGAGAGGTCTTGCGACCTTATCGGTTTTCATCAGTCAGGTACACCGCCTGAAAAATCAAGATTTTTAGCACCAAATAGATGTGAGGATAGAGTAAAGGCTTCTCTACAAAATACTGAAAACTCGAACGTTTTATCTTTTCGTTCTCGAGTTACTCAAAAAACATTCATGGCCGCTCTGTTGAGAAATCCATAGTAGAAATCCTATTTGCCTAAGCCCGAGTACAAATAACTGTTTATCCGTAACATTTTGAAAAGACAAATACAAGAGTTTATAGCGCACAATTATTTTTAACCGAGCTACAAGCTTTGCAAAATGCGAACCAGCTACTCAAATTCTAATTAAAGTTTAAACTTAATTAATTAATAACTATGGAAATACTTACCAGTTCATCGAAAGAACTTAAGGATATTTGTAGTCAGGTGTGCTCTTTAAACTGACATAGTTCGAGGACACATATATGGGAGAGGACCCCTTCCTTAAGACGAGATAGGGTGCCTAAGTTATACGAATATAGAGATAAAAGTTTATTTTTTCAGTTGTCCCTTTTCGCGATCGCTCTTAGAGAATGGTCAGATCTCATCTCAACATATCTTCAATTAAGCGTTAGACAAAAGCCTGAGACATTTCGAAAAGAGTTAAAAAACATTTTACTTCCACCTACCAACAAATTACTATGCACATTACATCGTCGAACTGATGCACTATTTTCCCGTTTAAGAGTGGATTTCTCCGCGCTTAACTTCCATCTCAAACAACATAAATTTGTTTCTGAAAATTTCTGCGAAAGCTGTTTCTTTCTGACTCCATCAATAAAGGTTGTTAAAAATTCAAAACACTATCTCCTGAAATGTTCACAGTACTATCGAGTTCGAGCAATTCTGTCTGCTAAGCTGGGTAATCCAGATCTTAATCTTGATACTGATACCCTTCTACTTAGAACACATTTATCCTACAACCTCTTGATATACGTGTATCAGTCTGTGGATGATGAACCACCCCCAACCCTATCCTCAAATTATGCCACTTTGTAGAGTGTGTTAAATACTATGTATCTTTGAGAAATTTCGACGGTCCTATTAATATTGATGAAATTATGAATTTTTTAACGTTGGACTTTGGTCAAAATTTTCGGTCTAGCGGCTGATTTTCGATACTTCATAAGCCATTCAGGTATAATGACAAAAATTTGGTTCAAGTATGTTTAGGTGCACAATTATTCATAGATAGTATGTATGTAAAAAAGGAAGAAAAAATTTCTATCTAACCTTTTATAATTTGCTGATACACGAAAAGCTTCTCTAAGTCCAATGTTTTTTCTCTTTTTTCTCTACGATGACGTTCTCTTTTGTTCTGTTTAAAGAATCCTCTCAGAAGATGCAATGTAGTCCTTAAGACGACGATTTCACTTGATTGGTCTTGTTCATTTTGATTTCTTTAATTAAACAGTTTAGATCAATGAAATGTTTTAATAGTATCACAAAATAGAACAATATCACTTTGTTTATTTATCACATATATTGAAATTGAATGTCGAATATCTGTAGTTTGATCTTGAAGTCGTTTAATCACAATTATTTTCTGTATAAATGGTAAGTCAGCATCGATCGACCGAAGATTGTTGCTTAACATAATTGGACTATGACCGGCAATGAAATCTTATCAAACTCTAATTTTAGTTCATCTCCTGTAGGAATAGTCCATTTATTCTGATTTGAATCAGTCACACATAATTTCTCCATAAATATATCATCAATTCTAAATTTTATACCATAACTATCGACAGTATAGTGGAATGGATAGGTCCCTTGAAGCAAAATATTTCTTAAACGTATACTATTTGTTTCAGCAGTCAGCACGCCAGGTAATGGATTAAAAACAAGACGATTTGCTTCAAATCTCAAACCAGCATAGCCATTTATAACGGCTTGCAAAAATCCGCCATCACCCGTCAAAAAATGTGAATTAAAACCATGACCACCAATAATATCCGAATGAATGTCTACCTAAAATCGCAAAGAGAAAGATTTATAACTAAAAATGAACAACAATCAACTATAGTGTTTTCTACCTCATTTCGCACGTGAAATTCTCCATAGGTACAAGCTTGTAGGGATCGGTTAAATTCTCCTTCAGCTTTAAATGATTCATTTAACATTAACCATACAATATTATGAATAGGAGCTTGAAAGAGAAATTGAAATTATACGGCAAATAAAACTATAATTAGAAGAGAGAGTTTTACTTGCTAACCAGTCATGCCAGCATTTTCTTTACATGTAATAGGAACAAATTTTTCGGCATCATTTCTTACAATTTCAGGTGTTATATTGAAGTTCATTGGATAAGTTAAGTAGAGAACATCTGAAGTTATTATGCGACGCGGAAAAAATTTTACTCTCTGTTCTGAATGTATCATTTACCTTCTGGACACACGTAATGATGCGGATCAGGCGGTAATGCGCCATCCCACTGAATATGTGTTTGTGTTGTAGAATTAAAACCAATTCGAATTCCATTGGCAATTTCAATCCATGATGGATCTACATCAAAATTAAACATATTTCCAACCTCTGTAGCAAATTGTAATGAAATAACAGCACCAGCATTTGTCATCACAGCGTTATTTACACCAATATCTCCACATTTAGATTGTTCATTATCACACCATTCATCAACAGGCATCACACCATTTATTGAATATGTGTCATCAGCATTTTTTGTCACACGGCTAGTGTAAAATATTGCCACATCTCTTAAGATTGGCCAACCAATGTTTTCTAACCATTCTTTATTTTGTGTTGCATAGTAATACATACGAACAGCAATAGAAACATCAGCAGTCACATGTTGCTCAATACACAATTCCCAGCCACCATGTCCATCGCAACATCCTTGTGGACGACCAAAATACGATGCTGTCCATGCATACATCGCGCCAGAATAATTGAATACACGTGCGATTTTATTTGATTCAGCTAAACTGTTATAGCGATATCTTAGAATATTCTCGGCAAATTCAGGATAGAATGGAAGTAATCCGGGCATCATATACCTAGAATAAGACATGGAAAACGATTATGTTTAGATGAAGTTTTATAATTCATACCAGTCCATGTCAAAAAACATGACTCCAGAATAAGATTGGCTCGACAAACCACCTGGAGATATACCATATGGCCAATCTTCTCTGGAACTTGTCAGAAGGAAATACATCGAACTGTTAATATGTTGTGCTATGTCTAAACTACGGGAAAACGTAGTAATTTGTGTATCCTTTGTACCATCAAAGTTTGTATCTAATTCTTGAATGTGAGGCTGAAATGATTGGTGTGGAAACAGATCGATCCCCGATTTCCATAGGTTTTTCCATGCTGCCATGTTTGATGTAAATAATTTTGGACGAAATGCGTTTGCTTCCTCGAATCGATTAATAGCTTCTAATGTCACAGATGTTTGTGAAATGGGATCTGGTCCAAAATCAATCGAACTTGCCAAAGTAGCAATATATTGTTGTAATATTGTAGATGAAGACAAAGTTATTGATGATGGCACAGGATTGGTGCATATTGTGACATAAACCGTTCTTCCCCTGTCATCTTGTCCGTCAACAATACCTTCATATACATGTAATGTTGACGTTGATAATGTTGTATTGAATGTAAATAAAACATCAATTTCGACATTACCACCACCTACACATGCTGTTTCGGGATTATGTGTTTGATTTAGAGGATCAAATGTCCAGGAATAATCAAATGTGACATTACTTGACGGACTATGTGATACAACAGATGACGATGGATTTAATTCAAATTCTAGAACCATTACACTTCGATGCGGTCTACTGATATACACGCGTTGTTCAATCACATTATCAGCGTCGATTTGATATCTTCTGGCAAAAGTACCTTTATTAAAATGTAGACCACTCGCTATAAGAGGTGCATTGGTAACCGTTCCGCCAATTGGGGACGGTAGACGCGCTTTTCCTATGTTACCACACTAAAGTTTAAAAAAAGAAATGAAAACTAAAATAAAAATTTCAAAGTTTTTATTTACTTTTCCAGTGAAAAGACCACTTTGAAATATCGATGCTGACATTGCGACGGTTGCAATGTAACCATTACCAATTTCTGGTAGAAAACAAAAATGAGGCTCAGGATTAGCGAACAAAATTCGCGCTCCGTTAATATCATCAATCCAATCCTTGGGAGGAAGATATCCTTTTTTAATGTATAAATCAACATTTTGTGTAACATCGTAGCAGCAACCTTGATCACATCCCGCTGTACAACTTTTTAAAAATCCATTAGTATTGAAACCACGACAATTAGAATTGACGTTACATCGAGCTGCTAATACATTGATGTCACACTCGACAGAGTAATCTAATCACAGCATAGAAACAGAAAATTTAGAATAGATTGCATTTTTTGCACGGACTTAGTATGTAGCAAAAAGAGGTATCTACTTTATAACTTAAAAATATCCTACCTGGTCCACATTCAAAATATTCTATATCGTTTCCATTAGCATCCGTACCTGGCATTTTTAAATAATGATTGAATGGAGAAGAAATAGATTGAATTGAAGAAAGAGAAAAAGAAGCAAGAAGAGAAATCAATAGGAAAGCAGATTTTAGATTTGCAGACATTTTGCAAATTATTATACGAAGCAGAAAGACAGCATAGTCTTAGACTATCTAAATTCAGAAATTAACTTAACGAAGATCTTAGACTATTTTTTTCAAAAGAATTTGAGTGAGAAAAGAGAATACGATTTTTAGTCTGAAAATTACTGTGACACTTGTTTCCAACCAAAATTCGACGTATTTAGCATCGAACGATGATTTCTAAAATACCCGTCTCCTTTTTTTCAATGAATGACAAATATTTCTTTTGAGTACGAGCAAGTTCTAGTGAGAGACTACACTGTTAAAAATCTGTGTTCTTCCATACTTTGGAGAACATGGTGAAGAACACGAATGTGAAGAACAGAATACATATTCTTCAGCCTATTTTCACGCTTTTGTTCTTTAGCAGAGTTTTTGTTCATAAAAAATTAGTTCTTCATTTTTATAAAGAACAAAAAACGAATTCTTGCTCTTTAGAAAACATAGGTTTCTAACCCAGGTTTCTGAAGAACGTAAATCATATTCTTGTTCTTCAAAGAACAAGAATCCACAGTCCATCAAAATATTCGTTTATGAAGATGCGTGTATCGGCGCAGATCAAGGAGAGGCGATAAATGCGATCAAATGGTAATAACGACTGCCTTCTATAAACATAAAACAATAAACAAACAAACATTTTTTTTGCGAGCTGTATGCTCGTCCTTAGTTTTTGTTGAAATCTTTTCTCTCAAATCATTGATTTTTGGATGATTTTCTTCTCTCAGATTCTATTCTATCGTAGTTTTCATTTGTGCTAAAGAGGAAATTTAGAAGTAAAAGAGGAGTTCCAGACTGTGAGGTGTAATTATGTTGTTTTAGTCTTCCAGTTTGCTCCTCTGGGTTTGCCGATTAGCTTTTTTAGGCTATAAGAGAGATTTTTGAGATTTCTTTTTTGTGTGTGTTTGTGTATTATCTATCTATCATTCATTATTCTTAATTTTGCATGTTTTTGTTCGTCTGCCACTTACGGTATTTGTGGTTTCGGTCTTTTTTTGTTATCTCCTCAACCATGTAGCTGAGTTGAGTTGCGGTTGATTACTTCATTGAAGATTAGATTTTCTAAGTGGTATTAGCTAACTCAACCCTCTCTAATCTGATGCATGCTTTTATACTACCATTTGTTTCAATCATTTACACCTTTTTCTTGTATGCTGCTCACAAAATGAGCTATTATTTTTACCCTTTCGGACATTATTTTCTCATTTATGCTATATTACGTTTAACTAAGCCTGTTTTTCTGTTCTACAAAAAAAGTTGTTCTTCAGTTTTCTGGAAGTTTTTGAAAAACCTGTCCTCTGAAGAACAAGCTGTTCTCTGTACAGATCGAAAAACCTAAAAGCACAGATTTTGTTCTTCAGAAAACTGAAGATTCTGGATCTGTAAATCTTTGGAGAACACATATATGATCTCTATAGGGGACAAATGAAGATCATTATTTGTTTTTTGAAGAACACAGATTTTTAACAGTGTAGTAAAGAACGATAATTGTATCATGATAGAACTTTTTAACAACTGTATTAAAACAACATCTTTTCGCTGTCTAAACTTTTGCTGTGTGTGTGTGAGTGTGAGTTTTTATTTATCTAGTGTTACATTTAAACAAGCTTTAGCTTTCTCGTAATTTCCATATGTTCTTTACAAAATAAATTCATTCATTCAACGCATTTTAGTCATAAAGAACAGTCTGTACTAATGACGGCTAAAAGAAGTTGAAGCGTTAAAGTAAAAAGCAACATCCATCATTCTCTTTAATTCGATCTACAACGTACAACGCGATCATTTCACAAAGATACTATGATTTTCACTAGTCCAAAATTGCCTCTGAACTGCACTCGCATTTTGTCTAGTAATCGCTGTTTTGCAAAACAGAATCTTATTTGTCAGAATCTTTTAATTTTCTAATAGGCTTTTTAGGAAAGATAAGACAAAAAAAGAAAAGAAAGAATGAATTGAAAACTAGGCTTTAGAAGCATCGTGGAATCAAACATTGTTTTCAAACAGATTCTGTCAGACTTTTCTTTTTATTCATACTTTTATACTTTATTGTTGGTTGAGTTAAAAAATTAAAAAATAATTCTCTTTATGCATAATCTTTTTTATAAAACATTTGAATAATATTAAATGATTAAAAAAATTAACAACTATAAATCACACAATGGTATCTATGTAAAACATGCAATTGACTAATAGAGGTTGTGTTTTCATCAATCACACAAACCCTCACGCATGTAGTAACATCTAGAAATACCATTTTTGTCAAAAATTTATCAAAAATAGAAAATGTGATGTAAAATACTCATATATAAATGCACAACAAATTTGTAATTAATAGTAATTGTCGCAAAAAGCACAACGTTGAACAGTCACCTATTATTAAAAAAACAAAAACAAAATAACAATAACAATCAAATCGTAGAATAAATAGGGTTGTTGAACAATGTTTAAATACATACAATCAAATACAAAACGTAAAATATCATGGAGAATATCTTTGATAAAGTTATATAGACTAGCGAATTATTCAAATAATAACAGAATACACATTACAAAAGTGACATTACAGAAAAATACTCATATAAAAAATAAAATAGATAATTATTGGGTGATAAAAACAAACTTGGAAAATCGTATCTAAAACATATGAAAGTGGATAAAAGCGAGATTTTTTAAAAATAGATGTGGAAGAGTAAAGGTATTATCACACGTTTAGAAAAATAAATACAATCTATTAAGGTCAATGATTGTTACAGCAAATCAATTGTCTGAGTTTATCGTTGATCATTCGGTAGTTTACCCATACAACGTGCTATATTTGGAAGAACTTCGCCTTGTATGGGACCATATGGTACCTTTTCACCATCAACCATTATATTGCCTTCGGTAGCATTTGGAACAATACGAAATGCTTTCATAGGCAACCATTCAACAAAATTATAATCAAAATGTTTTCCAGTTGATATTCCTATAAACATTTTAGCTAAATTAACACGGGATACACCACTACGGACATATTGCAATGTTAAATAACCGTCGGCCAATGTTGATTGTTTTGCTGATATTACATCTTTTGAAATACAGGGCTTCGATGTGATAAGAACATGTAAAAATGGCCCATTTATTCTACGCCATTTACTATTATCATCAATTTTTATTTCTTCATTCAATGGAAAAAGATGACGTTGTAATTGATTTATTGATGATATTGAACTATAATTATTGGATATTGTCGTCGAACTATCACTATTTTCATACGGAAGATAATCAATATATCCGTCATATACACGTGGATCTAAATCAAAACTAATCACTGTTATAGTTCTCAGACTAACACTTGCTTAAACTTACGAAGAATATGTTTTAAGACTTCAATAGTAAATCGAGTTTCACCTAAAAATCGATATTTTTCACTCTCAAAATCAACATCAGCTATTGTTGCCCATTCAACTGAAAGAAACGAAAATAATCGTTGTCCATCGATGGTATCAATAATTGCCATATCCATTGGTACAACGTTGTGCGTAGTTATTAGAACAGCGGCTTGAATAACAAATTCTTCCAATGAAACCATCGGAATTTGTCTTTGAAAAGAAAAAGAGATACGAATCAGAACATTGTAGCAAAACTAATGACATATGTACAAACTTGCTACATCGTAAAATACTCGTAATTAACGCGTTTCCCGAACCACATGGCAAATGACCAATAGGTAATTGTAATGCTTGTAGCCAATCAGGACGACTGAGTAAACCATTAATAACCTAATATAGACCAATACTATTTTATTTAGTGGCTGCTCATATAAGATATATCATACGCCATACCTCATAAACTAAACCATCGCCCGAAGCGAGAATAATACCATACCAATCGTTCAGATTCATCGATTGAACACAGTCTCTTGCATGACCGGCATGATCTACATAAGCATATTATGCAAGAAAAATTATAGTACAGTCTCTATAAAGAAAAAACTAACTACCAGTCGTTATAACATGATATGGCATTTCTGCTTCAAAAAATATGCCAGCTACGTGTTCCATAAATAATTTGTATGCTTTTCCAGCGCCTCCAGCTGGATTAATAAATACTAGTGTTCGTTTAGCACGTTTCGGTACAAGATCACCTTCAAAAAAAGTAGACAAACAATGAAAAATTACATAGTTGACAACCAACTAGACTCACGTGGAATGTTTTTCTTTAAATCAATAATCCTTCTTATCGATTCATGCCATTTCATCATTTCCACATAATTTTGATTAAAATCAGCATATTTCTGGTAAGTATAAGTTTTACTTGACCGTTGCATTGTTTGTCTAAATGTTTTTTTTGTGGATGAATATAAATAAATTGTCAAATGACAATCTTGACTTTCTTGTTTTTTCGAACGCATACATAAACAACCATAAATATCATCGGTTGAAATTACAAGAGTAGAAGATGACAGTGTTGCCGGCATATTTGTTATCCGCTGCTCATCGTCATTTCCATTGACATTCAAATTTTGATAGTTTTTATCTTGTCTATTATTATTCAACAATAGTGTGATAATTAACGCTGAATTATTTAATTTCAATATATAACGTTTTGTTGGATCATTATAAAAGCAAAATGTGTCGGATAAAATAGTTTGTAATTCTTGTTCTTGTTCACTAACATCCATTCTTTTAACAAATAGATGACGGATATATCTAAACTGAACCAAATTGTATTTTTGAAAATAACGTAAGTACACGAGTACAATAGTAATCAAGAACAACATACAGCATAACATACGTACTATCTTCTAAAAAAGTTGACTGTCTTTACAGAAGCATGTTCAGTATAATATCTGCCTCATGGCCTTTGCTGTCAGATTTCATGAGTTAGAAAGATAAATGAGTAAGCATTTCTTTTGCTTATCAATAATTTTTAGTATGCAACATTACCTGTTTGGTTGACAAGATACATTTAACAGATGGCGCAGAAGACATGGGTCTTTCCGTCTTTGTCATTTTCTTAGTTCTCTTTGACTCTCTAGAATGAAATTTCTTTTCAAACGACTCAGTATTTAATTGCGAGAGAGAAAGAGAGAGAGAAACTAGAATAGAA